ACATACATACATACATACATACATACATACATACATACATACATACATACATACATACATACATACATACATACATACATACATACAATCGGACATGTTAACGCTCTCTCCGTACACTTTTCATTTTGTCATTGTTTTTTTTCTTTTAGCCCCACCATCGATTCGGTTCTCTAGTCCCGAAGGCGAACACGCAGTCTCCCTAGGCTCATCGCTGGCTCTGTTCTGCGTCGCGTCTGGCCAGCCACCACCGAAGACCACTTGGACTCGGGATGGAAAGCCGATTGACTTGGATCGCTTCACCATCAGTGAAGATCAAGTTCATTTGCGTCTTTTAAAAGTGGAGGAGAATGATGGTGGACGCTATGCCTGCCTCGTGTCCAGTGACTACGGTCAAGCTTCACGAACGTTTGATGTCAAAGTTACATGTGAGTAGTTTTCATTTGAACGATTTATAGATGTGCGATGCAGCAGAAATATACCGCGTTAACTGATTTTTCCGAATTTGAATAGAGAGCTCTCATTGAGTCCCTACCCACGAACTTCTGATCGCTAAATTTTTAAAATTGAAATTGTTAGGTGTGGAACATCTTCTATAAATTCCATTTGTAACAAATGTAAATTTTATAGACAGACAGATGGATTGATGGATAAATTCCGCGGCTGATCTTCGTTATTTCAACTAATTGACATCTTGATAATCTCTCATTGACAGACGCACCGAGACTAGAAAGTGATGGGCAATTGCAATACAGTCTGGAGCGTACAGTTGGTGGTAGTGCTTTGTTGGAATGTTTGGTCTCTGGAAATCCGCGGCCAAAGATCACATGGTTCAAAGACGGACAACCGTTGGAACAACTTCCATACCGGTAAGAAAATTACGTTTTAATTGGTATTCTGTTTACGTTGAATCTGTTTTTTTTCTTGAGATATCCACACACATGCACACACAAACACAAACACAAAAGTGTATCACGACTTAACCAGATTTTGCTCAGTATACCTGTTAAAAGCATTTAACGTAGAAAAGAGTACAAGGCCTTGATAGAAGTGCAAGCGTTGTTCGATCGGATAGCATGAGTCAATAAAGGGTCTCAAAACAGGAGCTCGGAAAAGTTATCCAATTGTTTCTATCGTTCTCTTTATTCTTTTGTCAACCTGTAGTTATCGCTTGATCAATCAAGACCGCCAACTGGAAATTATTGCAATGCAACCCACCGATGCTGGACGTTATCGTTGCGTGGCCAAAAATCCATTCGGGCAGATCGAAGTGAATACGGATGTGGTGGTCGGAGGTATGCTTTGTGATTCTCATTCGTCAAATAGTTTTATTGTCCTTTTTTTAAAGATTTCACACGTTCCTTAAAGCAAGCCTTGGCAGCCCTCTATTGCTCCTCTATTCTTGCTAAGAATCACCTGTAGTGCGAATCCACCGGGATTCGAACTCGGAAAGCAAGGCGATTTCTAATCTGAATCCGTCTCAAACAGCCCTTTACGAGTTAGCCATCATCAACTGACTCCGTGTTAATCCAGATGGCAATAAAGAGGGGAGGGGAGGAATGATATTTCATCGCTTGGGGAAATGGAAAGATCAATATCTAAATATTTTATGTCTTTTCAGAGTACTACTTAATCGGCATCGGGTTAGAGTGATTCCTTCATTCATCGATCCACGGATAGATTGGTTTTGAATGCACTAGGATAATGCTGTCTGAGCGATTTGTTCCTCTTGCTCCAATTTCATTGCATCTTGCTGTTCTCTCTGCCATCTATGTACGGAAGCCTTAAGCTGCAGTGGCACCATCGATTTGTTCATTTTTGGAATAAGTAAGGAGATTCTGCAGTTAAAACATCAGTCGAACCAGAGATTTTCATCTTTGCATTGATCGTCTAATCAATTCCTAGAATATGTCCTTTGGTACTAATGAGTAATCATTTTTTAATGTTATCTTTACGGGCTGTATGCATCGAAGAATTTGCCAATTAGTGCTAGTATTATTACTGCGACTACAACTACTGTTACGAACTCTGTTGCTGTCACTGCTATTGTTACTGTTGCTGTTAATCTTATTACTGTTTCTACTACTACTATTGCTACTACTACTGCTGCTACTACTACCTCTACTACTACTACTACTACTACTAATAATAATAATAGTAATTCCTATGTGCAAGAGATTTAGTACTTTGTTTTTTTCAAGATGGTGGATCCTCACGAGAAATAGCGTAAGAGCGATCAAATATCTCCCAGTTTTTCCATTTTGTTTTACGGTCATAAAATTTTAAACCAGATCGATATCAAATTAGTT